CCCCCCCCCCCCCCAGCCGTGAAGCGGGGGGGGGGGGCAGCTTCTCAAGATAGGCCCGGCTGGCAATGGCAGTCAGCAATTGTATTGTGGGGAGGCGTGTTATTGGAACCAGTACCGGCCAGATGGGGAGAGGTAGGGTGAGCACTAAGCACTGCCTCTTTACCCTTCAGGCTTTGATGAGGCATCTTCCCATGGGTCCTGTCACCTTGCCCAGGCCCTTTTCTCCCCAGTTTTTCTCATCTGATAAACAGGGGTGGGAATGAGTTGGATTACATCACCTCCAAGGGTCTTTGGGCCAAACCTAGCCCACCAGCACACTGTGGGAGAGATGGGTGAGGAACACCCCACTCATGGACCCTACAACAACAGTATGCAAAGGAAGGCCTCTGGGGTTGACAGCCTCCGGCTTGGGGGAAGCGAGGAGCAGCTGAAAACCCACAGGCAGATTTAGAGTCGAAACAGTCCAGTTCTGCTCCTGACTCTGTGATCTCCAGAGGGCAGCTTAATTCCTCTGAGCCTCAGTGTCCTTGCTTGAGAAATGGGAGTATCACAGTACCTACCTCATCAGCTTGTTCTGAAGATAAACAGTAAGGGCTGCCTCTCATCAAGGGCTCACTCCGTGCCCGGCACCATGCTAAGGCCTTCTTGTTCATTACGTGAGGTCATGGGCAGAAGCACTGGCCCCCCAGCCAGCAGACAGCAAGCTCCATGATGAGGTCCAGGGTTACCATTTCACAACAGCCCTAGTGCTTTGCACACGTGGCTACAGTTCATCGGTGGAAAGGGCTTAGCAAGTAAGTGCTCAATAAATGGAGCCCTTCGTTATTAGCCAGAGATAAGGGACCCTTGTGAGGAGGCCCTGCAGGCGAGAAGTGTGGAGTAGGGGCGGCCCAAGACGTTGGCTCACCCACTTCTGCCAGGACGGCCAGCCGCAGTTCCTGGGCTGGGACGTCAGCTCTTACTCACTCTTCCCAGGGAGCAACTAATTAGCTCCCCAGATGAAAGGTGCTTACTGCAAGCACAAGGTGTGACCCCCATATTTATAACCAAGGTTCCTTTGGGTGAGGCCTGGCCTGGGGGTGGAGAGACAGGCCAGATCAGGGCCTCACCTTCTTTATGACAGAGGTTCTCAGGGAAGGGAGCTGGCTGGGGAGCCTGAGAAAAAGCTGCAGAGGTGGCTGTGGGGCTGAGAGCCTGGGAGTAGGAGGAGCCAGGGAGCTGAGGGGGCAGAATGAATGCTTCAGGCCCAAACTGCCTCCCAGCCCAGTAGCTCTGAGGCCAGGAGACAGCCTAGGGCAGGGTGAGTTGGAGCGAGGGCTCTGATGTTGGGCTTGCAGGTCATAATCCCAGCCCTCCTGTGGCTGTTCCATGTGCCAGAGCCTCAGCTTCCTCGCCTGTAAAATGCCAGGCACTGGGTGCTGGAAAAAGTCATGAACAGAGCAGATCAAGTATTCACTTGATCCTACATCAAGGACAGACAGTAGACACCAAAACCAAGAGAGCAAGTATGTGGCCTGGCCATGATCCGTGTGTGAAGACGGGAATTGGATTCAGCCATAGTGACAGCGTCCTGTGTCAGATGCAGTGGTCACAAGTGATTTGCTTCCCCTCACGATGCCCAAGAAAGCAGAAGAGCAGGTGCTGAGGCAGGCAGAGCCGGGTGTGGGCAGAAGAAGTAGGCCTGGGTCGAAGGGCTGGCCCAAAGCTGCACAGAGATACTTGGAGACTGGGGGACCAGCGAATGGCATAATGATTATGGCGCTGGACTCCCACGCAGTCGACCACAGTTTGAGTCCTAGACCTGGTGCCTTAGAACGCATGCCGGGCATGTATACATGTGTGCCCAAGATCCCAGGAGGAGAATGGAGAAGGGACTGTGGCGTGGCCATCCCCCCCGCCCCCGGGGTGGTGATTTGGGACTGTGGCGTGGCCATCCCCCCACCCCCCGGCCCCAGGGTGGTGATTTCTTGCTTTCTGTCTCTCTGCCTCTCTTTCTCTCTGGCAAGATCACATCCCTTATAGCAAAAAAATTTCTCTCTAAAAAAAAAAAAAGGAACTTGGAGGCTGGAGTCCGGATCTGCAGCCCAGGAATCTTGACCCAGAGCTGGTGATACTGCCATGGAAGTGCCCGCTACCCCCGGCTAAGTAATGTGCCCAGACTACGCCACCCGCCCTCATCTCCTCCTTGGCTCCCCACCCCTGACTCCCGTAGTCTGGAGTCCAGAGGCAGACAAGGAACTGAAGCAGCTGCTGGAGAAGTGACAGTGACATTCCCCAGCTGCCCTGGCTGAGCTGAGGCTTGCGGCCTTCTCTGAACTCTCCCCACGTCCCGCTGAGTTGTGGTGACCCTGTATTTTTACTGAAGATCATAGAACATAAGTTGAACTTTTTTTCCCCTAAGATAGTTTTTTTTTGCTATAGTGTACGTCCACTCGCCAGAGAGACAGAGAGAGACAGCGAGAAATCACCCCCTCCCCGGGGGTGGGGATGGCCACACCTCAATCCCTTCTCCTCTATTCTTCTCTTGGGATTTAGGGCACACATGTACACGCACCCAGCGTGAGTTTCCAGCCACTAGGTCTGGGACTGGAACCGCTGTCGACTATGTAGGAGTCCAGAGATGTAACCATTCTGCCACCTGCTGGTCCCAAGATGAACCATTTTTTAAGTGAACAGTTCAGTGGTGGTTTGTACATTCACAGTGTTTCAAGATACTGTCATCACCCCAAAGGAAAGCTAGCTTCCAGCCGCTGCTCCCCATGGCCTTCTCCCCAGCCCCCAGAAAGGCCAGCCTACTTCCTGTCTATGCATTCGCCCCTTCTGGACACTTCACCTGCCCAGACTTCTGTGTCTGGCCTCTCGGCATAATGTTTCGGTGCTTCAGTCCCATTAAAGCAAGTACCACTGTTGTGTTTCTCATGGCTAGGTGATGCCCCATTGTATGTAGGCACTCCTATTTTAGAGATGAGGAAACAGACTTGGGGCAAATAGGCAATACCCAAAGGTCCCAGCCAGTCCCTGGCAGAGCCAGAATTCAGCCCAACCTGTGGCCATACTGTGGAGCCCCAGACTGAGCAGGCCTGCTCCCTGGATGGCCTCGTCCTGGCACTACCACCAGAGAAGGGCTGCCCCTCTGGGAGATGCAGCTTCTCAGCTGGTCACCAATCTCTTCTGAGGCTCAGTCTCAGCACAGGCTCATAGATGTGGGTGGAGAGGCCTCCCAGTCACCACACCCTAGGCAAGCTCAGAGCATGGGGGCAGAGCCGCCTCTTCAGGGGCAATCCCAGTCCCAGGCCACAGGCCATGGCCCTCCTGGGGTTTGAACTCTTCCTCACAACTGGGTCATGAGGGCCAGGAGGAGCTCAACCCTGGGCCAGCCTAATGGGCAAGCAAGCCTAGGGTGCTGTCTCAGCTCCCTTAGGCAGAGTGGCCACACTCATTGAGCAAGTGTACCACTCCCTCAACAGTGGGTACTTATGAAACTCCCACTCTATGCCAGTTACCACATGGCCTCCGCCTT